ATCGATACACGTCTCAACTGCAGTGTCACGCAGCGAACGACGATACCACGTCATTTCGTTTGTCTGCGCTCTCTCCCCGAAGAAGGTGGCGTGTAATCCCAGTGCTAGGGATTTGAAATGACGTGGCAAGGCAAGATGAAACAAGAGATGTCGTTGCGTAGTGGCACCTCCGAACTGCCTTTGCCCCCTCCCCCGCTACGGGGTATGATAGGAGCCTCAAACGTTGGAGCAGTGTAGCGCGTCAGAGCTAGCTCTACTATGCGCCACTGCAGCATCGGAGAACGGGAAAATGCACTAGATGCGTAATGATTTCGTCGCCCGAGTGGAGAGACTCGACAAAGCGCGCTGTAGCGTAAATGGGGAAAATCAATACTAGGGGTGTCTCCAGCGGCGCTGATCGGTTGCTTTCGACCATCGTACTCACTTGTGAGCCCCACATTGCCAAAGTCCATTCCAGGGGAACATCCTTAAAGCACTGATCAGAGCCGATTGTGGGGCGTGAGACATGACGACAAGGACTTGATGGGCTTGGAAGCCTGGAGCTCCAGGTTCTCAACGAAGGAGTAGGTATGGTCCTGAGTCCTGAAAAGGTGCTATCGAAGTTTCTGCCACTGCTCGACGGCCGGTACTCCAGAAAAATGAGCGTTCTTGTCAGGATCTGTGATAGAGTCCTTTGATGATTGGCCATGGTATGATTACACTGCCAATCGATCGGTCGGCTGGGAAATCGGTGGCATTCCCGGCTAATCGATATTAAATATTCCTGGACGCTTGCTATATTTTGCGGTGGCATTCCCAGCTAATCGATATCTATCCCAAAAACACTCGCATGCTTCGGAAGGCCTGCTCCAGCACCGTACATGTTCGAACTTGTCACACTAGTGTGAGACAAGCCCTATCTTGTTTGGTCAAGTGTCAACACGTAGAAGTAGGCTAGTGTCCATCGGCAGGCCCTCGGAATGCCAGCCATAGCCCAACACCAACAGGGAAGCCCATCGCTGAAACTTCTGTAGGAGTCAGTGCTGACCAAGTTCTTCGAAGAATGAGACGTTTGCTTTTCAGTCCTCGCGACAAAAACCAGCCCCTGGAACCGTAAGTTCTCAATTTGAGTATCTAAATCAGCTTTTTGAGTGCTTCTATACAATAGGGACAAAACTGAACACTGATGCACCCAATATTTAGATGAATGTTTGAAATCACATTCAGGAATCCATTCGTTTTATGAATAGTATTTACTAATCTGTATCACTGATTACACTCTAGTTCGCTGCGGACGGTTGGGCGTGTCAGCCAGTATGAGTGTGCACAGCGTCAAGGCCGTTCTCTGCCTTCTTGTTGAAACGCGCATGCGACAAAAAGTGGTAGAAAACGAGTAATACGAAGGATATGATACAGTATTGTCACTTGCCCGCTTCAACAACTGGTGGAGAACGAGTTTGGCACCGCGCCAAACGCAGCCGCACTGACACGCCCAACCGTCCGCAGCGAACTACACTATATGTGTTGCTTAAACGGGCGCCAGTATCGTCTCCGTTCATCCTTGCGACATGATAGAGTTGCCCAAGGGGTTCACTGGGTTCGAGAGACGCGATGAACATCATACCATGAGACCTTCGCTCAGTGCTTTCACGAAGAGGTCTAATCATTGAGTAGGCGGTGTCTAGATGTTGGTCGACAACCCGCGAAATCCAGTCAATAATCGCTCTGGTCCAGCGGTCGTCCTCGAAACGCATGACGTGCCCGGCCCACCTGATCTTCGAAACCTTGGCAAATGCGGCTGCGTTCATGATTTTTAGCGTCGACGGATTAGACGTAAGGTAAACGGCAAAATCGCACTTGAGCATCCGGCCGTGGTCC